AAATTTCGTTAGTCTGAACTGCATTTTGAGGTCCGCAGTGCGGTGGGGGGGCGGACTTTTTTTTTTGGTGGACACAGGCTGGTGAATAAGCTAATAGCATGCGGTTCTGCATGAGGGAGGGGGTGATCTACCAGAAACGGAGGGTAATCTGCCTTTAGATGTCATCCTTCCAGCAGCTCTGTAAGGTAAATCATCTTAGCTATCCTTACAAGATATGTGGGAAGATGGTCCCGGAGAATTAAAAAAAGTTGCTTTTTTAATTAAGATTTTTGGCTCATCTCTCGTTTCACTCCTACTGCTCTCTCTACAAATGGTATGTGATGGCTGCAGGAGGGGTTTTATACAGACAGTGAACAAAAATGAAATCTTTCTTTACTTAACCATTGTGCCAGAGAGTGGGGTTCAGTAAAACAATTGAAAGCCGATTTGCACAACACTTATCCTGCCACTCTGCCAAGAGGGTTCAGTAAGCTAATACCAAAAGCTGCTTCTGTTTGACAAAGGGTCCCTGTAACCTGTTGACCCCCCCTCCCCCAAGAATGACTTCCAAGGACATTCTTGACTGTCATCCTTTGCCACATGCCAGAAGCATGTCCTCTGTCTGCTAATGATAGTCTTAAGCAGGTGAGAGCAGACACTTCTCTTTCCTAGTACAGACCCTGCCTCTTCCCAAGTTCATCTATCCTGGGTGAGGAGGGACCACTCTTGTTATTGTGAGATCACAAATCTCACCTAACAGGGTCAAGTCAGATTAACACTTTGGGGGCTTGATCATCCATGGAAACATCAGTTGGGCAGGATAAAATGTATGGGCAGCCTCTTTTATCAGCTCAAAACTTTTTTCAGCAGTTTTGCAACCAGATTTTTTAAACAAAACCCACACCAACAAGGTGGCTTTGTGACTGATACAGGACCATGCTGGCTGCTGCTGGATTTCCTCCAGAAACTGCAAATCTGGATTAAATGGGGTGGGGAATTTTGATGGGAATTTTAAATGGGCTGGCATTTTGATGATGTGAGGACACTGCCAAAAAACTTGAATGCATGAAAAACATCTATCTGACAATAAACACCCACAGTCTGGCAGGGTGGAACAGTGGCGTAGCGTGGGTTGTCAGCACCCGGGGCAAGGCAAGTAATTTGCGCCCCCTAACCCGGGGCAAGGCAAGTAATTTGCGCCCCCTAACCCGGGGCAAGGCAAGTAATTTGCGCTCCCTAACCCCTAACCTGCCGCCGCTGCCAGCTTCTTCTTGCTGCTGCCTGGTCTGGTCTGGTGTGGTTCTCTCCCGCGCTCAGCGCTGCGCTGGGCGGCCGCTGCACTGTCCCTCCCCAGATAGTCCTCGCTCTCTCTCCGCACCGCACGCCTGGCACCCACCCCCTCCACAGTGGGCGGCGACCCAGCGGCTCGGATCGGATTCGCACAGCCAGCACTGCAGTGAGAGAGAGTGAGTGAGCCAGGTAGGGGCAGAGAGCTGCGAGTGCGAGCGCCCCCCCCAGATGTTGCGCCCGGTGCGGCCGGGCCCCCCTGCACCACCACCCCGCTACGCCACTGGGGTGGAAGAACAGAATCTTGGGTGCACATCTACAGGGAGGAAAATGGGAGCAGGAGAGCTAACCAGCCCACCCACATACCTTGCATTCACATTATCGGGAACATGCTTTTGTCAAGCTACAGTGTTCTTTCCTCATTGGCATAAATATGACTCTCATGCTGAATATATTGTGAAAAACTATTGTAGTATGACAGGGGATGTGCGATCACAAGAAATTGCCCATTGAGAAGGGAGGAACCCACAAAACTCCTGAACCAAGAAGTAATTCAGTAAATTACACCATAAAATCATGTGCATGCTGATCAGAAATAACCCATTCTACAGTGGTACCTCGGGTTCAGAACTTAATTCATTCTGGAGGTCCGTTCTTAACCTGAAACTGTTCTTAACCTGAGGTACCACTTTAGCTAATGGGGTCTCCCGCTGCCGCTGCGTGATTTCTGTTCTCATCCTGAAGCAAAGTTCTTAACCTGAGGTACTATTTCAGGGTTACTGGAGTCTGTAACCTGAAGCGTATGTAACCCGAGATACCACTGTATTAAATTCAGTTGGGCTTCCTCCTGTGTAAGTGTATGTGGAATTTCAGTCTAAAGCAAGAATTTAAGTTGAGGGGTGGGTGGAGATAAAAAGGTGCACCATAACTGCTGAGAAGTAAAATTTAACTCAGTGTTACATTTATATGACTGTTACTCCCTCCAGTGGTAAAAAGAAGCAACTTCTCCCAGAGAAGTATGTGCAGGCAGGAAATGGTTTCGGAATCAGTTTTAGATGGGCTGTAATGAATGCAGCAGCCTTTATCAACCTGGCACTAGGCTGGAACAAAAGCAAAAGCACTCTCTCCACTTGTGATTCCCAGCCAGTGGCATTCAGAGGCATACTGTGCCTGGGCTCATCCAGACTTCCTTTTGTGCCATATTTCTCACACATGTCTGTACTTTAAAGCTCTCATGTCCAAATGCCTCCCCCCCTCCTGTGCTTACTCCACAAAAACCTGCTCTTTACCACTGAAAGCAATTCTTCAAAAAACAAAACAAAACCAACCCCAGATTGCCAGTTGTTCTGATTTAGCGTGAAAGAGTGGGTTTTCCTGGGGAAATAAGTGCTCAGACATGGACTGGGAAAGCGTGGTTCTGTGCCTAGAACGCATAGGGCAAAAGCTAAGTGTGGCTGAGCCCTCAGACTGTGGAGGTGGAAGACATATCTTGAGCACCAAACCTTGCTGCCTGTCCATGGTATGCCATGCTTTGAGCTGCTTCCTCCACTATTGCAACCCAATTTCCTGCTTTTTTAAGATCTAAAAGGAAAAAGAAAGCATCACAAAGCACAGGTGGTTTCTTCATACAAACTACAGTTATCTTGTGGAATTCACAGTCTTAAAATGCAGTACAGTGGATACTCGGGTTGCGAACGTGATCCGTGTGGGCGGCATGTTCGCAACCTGCAGCGCCGCGTCTGCGCGCGCACAGGTTGCAATTTAGCACTTCTGCACATGCACGAGCACCGAAACCCGGAAGTAACCTGTTCCAGTACTTCCGGGTTCAGTGCGGTGCGCAACCTGAAATCATGCAACCTGAAGCGTCTGTAAGCCGAGGTATGACTGTAATGACAACTGCATTGGGTGGCCTTTTTTAAAAAAGTTTAGACAAATGCATGATGTACATCTGTCAACAGCTAATAGTTATTGCATCTCAGTGGAACCTCAGCATACCACTGAGTACCAGATGCTAGGATGAGGAAGGCCATCAGCTTTACTCTGGCTTGTGAATTTCCAGAGGCACCTGGTTGGTGGGATGCTGTTGGCTGCAGAATGCTGGCCTTCACGGAGCAGGTCCACTTAAAGTTTCCTCAGCCCCACATAGCCGGAAAACAGTTTTGCTCTTTTCACATTAATTTCCATTCCAGAAGCTATGCAATTTCGCCCCCAAATTTCCCAATCATTTGTTTCCCTCCCACTTTCCCACCGAGGAAAGGAATTTGGGGTAGTGAAAATTAATTTTGGGGAAGGTGGGAATCTGGATCGAGAAGGGCCGTAGCTTAGAAGAACCCAACCCCTGGCCTATTTTTAGTGTTCTTCAGAGTGACTAGTCTGAGGAGAAGAACTGGAGACAGCCATCTTCAGGTTGGTTCCTCAAGTTCATAGAATGACAGCACTAACTTCCTTTCAGAGTAGAGTTACCAGAGCCATTCCCTGTTATAGACTCAGAGATGCCGCCCACAATAGGTAGGTAAAATTACGGGGCACGTCAGGAACTCTTGTAGCGGCATCCTAGTCATATTGTACTGGACAGAAGGTGAAGAGGAACCTGTGGGGCAAGGATGTGAATGGTGTGAAATGGGACATTCTCAAATAAGAGACCATCTCTTACAATAAAATGAATATCCATTGACCTTACGGAGTTGACTATCCTCATTCTCTTCGCTTACATGGAATTGGAATTTATCACTGGATGGGGCTAGGGTGAAGAAAGCTCTTAGAGATAGTAATTTTATTCTCATTTCTCAGGGTCTTCTTTCCTTTGGTAATTCAG